AGTAGGCAGGCGAGCTGGTTGATGTTACACATTTTTTGAAAACCCCCGTCGTCCGTCGTCTCCGGTTTTCAAAAATGTGTGATGCTGTTTGTCTCTCACTCAAGCCAAGCGAGGACTTTACGTTTCCCAATCGTGGAACGCCGACCACTCCGACGTTTTTGGTCACGCACGTCGCCAATAGGTGGTATTTCACTGGCGGCCATAATGGAGTTTGTTGTTGCTTAGCGCGAGCTTATATAACGGGTCTCCAGAATGCTCCCGCAACACATATGGCAGACCACCCAGATTGCATAGACGCTTTACACACGCGCCAGATTAGAGCCGCCATTGCTGACCTTCTCTTGTCTTACCGAGATAACAAGCCACTGAGGTGGGCCTTGACGAGCCTTCACGAAGGCCAATGCTGTGGAGAAGAGCACAGTCAAATCAAAAATGGCAATAACCTGTCCTGTTATGGTAATGATGGAGTGAAAGTGAACAATATAAAAGGAAACAAAAACTAAAGGTCGGCGATGGCGGCGCCCATGCAGTTTTTCTCAGATGATAAAGGGGGGGGGGGGGGGGGGCGGCTGGCTTCGGCCCTGTATTGTGAACACCGCGCTCAAATATGGCGCCCAGTAAACACCATACACCTTTTCCACAAGATCGCCGCTATCTTGAATGTTGTCACTTGCAGCTTGGGCGAAAAAATGATTTTGCTGCCGCTAGGCCAATAGAAGATATTCAGGAGCGTAACCGTCATTCATTCTCGTCTTGCCTCTCCTCTATTTTTTTTTTTTTTTTGGTTGCACTGTTTGCACGTTGAAATGTTTCATTATATTTTCGTCGCCAATATTGGATATGTCTACCCTTCGAAAATTATGCCCTCTTATGGCCTATCTGAAAATACTGCACAGTGGCTTGCGCAAAAGACACCAACAAAGTGGCAAATCTATCAATTTTATACAGTCTTTTTCAATGGAGTATTATATTAGCGCTTATGGTCAAGAGGTCCAACGAGTCAAAAGGTCCAACGAGTCAAGAGGTCCAATAGCCACGTGACAGCCGAGTCAAGAGGTCCAACGAGTCAAAATGTCCAATTCGAGTCAAGAGGTCCAACGCGTCAAGAGGTCCAACGAGTCAAGAGGTCCATCGAGTCAAGAGGTCCAACGCGTCAAGAGGTCCAACGCGTCAAGAGGTCCATCGAGTCCTATTTTTATCTTCTCTGTTTATAATGATATTGCTATTAATGGGGGGGGGGGGGGGGGGCTGATTGTGACGGTTACTGACTGTTTGACCTATTTGAATCATTTTAGAGAATACAAGTACCACATAGCCATTGGAGACAAGTAGACAGATACTATTTGCCACAATGTATATGTATTTCAGTGTTAAATAATGGATAGTGCCTAGCGACATATTTTGGACTTGTAGAACTTCATATCTGTGTTCCAGGCTCTCTGTTCTAGGACTTATTTATGCCATTTCTACGGAAGTGTCTCTCATATTCCCAAGATATAAAATACAAATGTACCGCAGCCCCCCATCTCGCATTTAGAATTCCCTTTCATGGATCTAAGCATTCGTAAACGCAAATACTTCCTTAGGTAACTTTGTCCAGTCCCGGGTTTTCGTATGTTTTATTAAAAATATGATGCACTACTATTTTATGCTTTAGTATTTATTCACTGAGTTCACCGATTCACTAAAGAGGTAAATAACACAACTAGGGAAGAAGCTCAAATATCACTGGAGGGCGTCTTTAAACGAGCCCAAATTATGCCACTTGGCGTCCAATAGAGTGTTGCTAATGAATGCGAGCATTGTCTCCTTGAAACGTTATGACCGCTGCAAGCTATAGCGGCTTAATTTGGGCCGTTGCCTTACTTAAAAGCAGGGAGCAGCCAGAAATACTTATGCTAGCGATATGTAACACCTTTACTGCTCTTTATTTTTGAGAATGCTGTGAAATAAACCATGAAACTGAACGTTTGATGATTAAGGCTGCGGTACCACGGCGGCCATCTTGAACAAAACATTAGTTGAACCACCAGGGCGGCGTTGGCTGTCCGTAAGAGCAAATGCTGCGAAACCTGCGCGCCAATTTCGAAACCCTTTTTCCCGTCGCTTGCGACCTTGAGTTTCCTTCTCCACTCTTACGCCCCTCCTTTCACGTGTTCACCCTCTGGCGCGTCGCGCCCACGTTCATTGTTGGGAGGACAATGTACCGGATAATCCCCAACTTGAGGCCCCCTGCCAAAATTGTCCGGCTGCCAAGTGATTTGAGCGAGATGGGGTTTTGAAGTGGTATGGAAAAGTGGGGACCGTCAATTTTGAACTATGCCTTTTCGATACTGCATAAGTTGTGTACGGGGCTGGCCAAGGCACGGGCGCGAGGACGTAACTGTATACAATGCTTGGGTTGCAGGAGCACTCGCGCGTAGAAATGGTAGGACGCGCTTTCTGAAATCACACGCCTACATTCCGCAGCGTTGCAATCCTACGAGTAAAACAGAGTACATCTTCGGACAGTGCGTGAGTTGATGCCGGCCGTACGAAAGACACACCTCGCGCTTCCTGTCACTACTGCCTCTGCTTGCACGCGCTGCCGATTGGCGGTCCTTTCTTTATTTTGTTTCGTCGCTCTTTTGAAAATACTGAAACTAATATTTTCTCAGACCCTGCTCATCGTACCTCTGCACTACAGTTGTGTAAACACGTTGTGATGTAATTTGAGATATGGGACGGAGTGTCTACATTCTTATTTCGTGTGTAATGCCGGCATAATATTCCTTTGCTGCCAGAGGGTCAAAATAATGGTAGGGTCGGCAGCAAAAACTATTTCAATGACCGAATTATGATCAAACACCAGTAAGAACATAAAAAAGAAATCACATGGGGACAATAAAAATATTGCTACAAGAGGATGGTGCGTGGGGCACAAACAATATTCGGAGTGACGTTGAGGGAACGCGACAAGCCAGATCTTTCCTAATGGCAGCCGTAAAAGTTGATCTGGTGCCTCGTTTTGATCGGCTTTGCACGGAAACTCGTAAACTACCGACTATCTTGTCAGTGGTGAACATAGTGAGCATGAACTGGATGATTTTTTTGTTGTTGTTTTTGTTTCTGTAGTTAAATGAGAGTATGGAAATATGAGACGTCCGCTGACGCTTGCGTCGGCTAACGGAACCTCAATCGCCGATCGCGGCCGATGTCATGGGCGTATACAAATACATCAAGTCGTCTGGGCGGGAGCAGTTGAAGCGCCGCACTTTTTTGGCCGGTCAGTAGAGACCCCGCGAATTCTGACTCGAGGCTACTCTGTGCGGAGGGAGCCGCTACTGAGCGCGACCAATCGGAAACCAAGGATGGCTGAAATTTCCTAATTGCCATGAGATTTGCAAATTCGTTCTTCCCGCCGTAGTAAATTCGTCCGAATCGCTATTCGATTTACTAATCGA